GAGCGGTAAAAGTAACTACACTCAAAGTCAAAAAGACGTTTTAAAAATGAAATGCAGCCAATAAAATACATGAAATTTTAACTCCACAAACTGTATGAAAGAAAATTGTTAATCTAAAAAGTATTCGTGCCAACATAGCCTTAACAAAACCTATGGGAAACACTGTAGTAGGACTGCAAGATGACTCAAAATCGCAATCTGAATGGAAGCAATTAGCAAATCTACAGCAGCTTTCCTCCACAAACTAAAAAATATGTGTATCTAAAATTGTATCTGAAATACATGTGATTCTTGTGAACTACATGTGAACTTTGAACAAAATCCTATTAAACATAAATTGCAATGCTTGTCAGAATGATCGCAATTTGATATTTTTTTCCCAAATTGTTTTAACTTGTAGTTTAGATCTCCACAAACATTTCCTGAAATTCATAGGATTCTTGTATTAATTTGTCAGTTCAAGTTTCAGTCCTCTCTCAAATCTTACTTTTGGAGTTGTTTACGATGTGCTCTCTGGACAGAATCCTACATTTTGAACATAAATCGCAATACAGATTTTTTTTTCCCCTCAAATTTTGCCACCCTAGTCGAAACCAGGGTATTAAAAGGGGATGTCTCGCAAACTCGCAGATTTTCACAGTGGAAATCATGTACCAGCGTGTAACATTGTTCTGCTTTAACCCAAACTTAACCCCTCTTGATGAGGAAGTAGAGCTTTCAAAAGGAATCGGGTGGGCGTAGATGGATGGGGGTGGGAAGCCTTTGATGAGCTTATTTTAAAACATGGTCATATGATGTTCTCCAAAACCCTGGGGCCATTATGAGTGGAGCCCGACACTGGAGGATGTGGATTATTTTATATTGGTCCGGAGGAAACGCTATAGTTCACCTACCCCGGCTTTAACGTGCCCTTTGACCCCAGTGTAAATGTTACCAGCACTGACTCAATATCTTAAAAGATGATAAAAGGATATAGTCCAGAGATCGGGTTAACAGCGATGCCCTTTTTGCATTTTTTTCCGTCGGGTTCGTCCATATAAGGAGCTAATACGTTCGTTTTAAAGAATGCAGAAATACCAGCGTGGTGATTTAAATAGGCTGAATGGGATGTTTCTATAAAGATGAGGGCAGTGACCTAGCTTGTTCTGCTTATGTTTACTGCTGTTACCATGCGGATCAGTAGATTTTGTATGAGGAGGGTAATTACGGCGTTCTTTTTTTTAACGGAAGTCCCGGGGGAAAGTGGAAGTCTTGTATCATAAAGCAAAACAAAGTCTTATTTGCTGTGCCTGGCTGGACACTCCACTGGGCAACTCCTTTATATAACACGACGCGCTATTGCTGACACCGGCATTCGCTTCCCTTTTTGTCCTTGCATGTGTTCGTCTAATTACACAGCGATTGGCCTTAATAGATTTGGTGACATTTTTGCAGCCGCTATGGTCTGTTAGCATAACATAGCATAATTCGGCTATTTCCTTGAAGTTCAAGTGAGATTAAAAACAGCCCTGTTTAAAGATTCCCCTGGAGGTAGCCAAAGTCAAATTAGCCGTCTCGCACGAAGGATGAGCATAATGTGGTACAACCCAACCTCGTGTTGAATTTGTTGAAAATGACACCACTGGCTTTTGGTTGGCCTTAATAATACACAGACTAATCTTCTATGAACCTGCTGATTTGGCTTGCTCATGAGTATTCCGCTTGCGTTGGTTCCCATAACACGTTTATAGCAATGCGGTTGGAATATAAGATAAATATGACTGCTCCTTTTCCCTCTCCTAATAATATGGGCTGTCTAAATGGAGCGGAATACCAAACACAGGCTGGAATGAGGAGAGAGCCCAGCCATTACGGAGCACATAAACACCCCTCCCTCCGTCGCTCTCCCATTTGTGATAAGAATCTCGGGGAAGAGGAGAGAGTAGACAGCTCAACAGCCCCTTTCTTTCACTTGCCACACACTCCCCCCTTTTCTAATTAACATTGTGCATGTTGTCAGGCTTTGTTTAATAATGCACGATTGCTATCAGAAGCAAAATCCTTTGAATGGAGCAGCAGTGAATGGGAACACAATAATACCAGCAGGAGCTCAGGAAGCACACGCTAGATTGTTTTTTATTCTAATAAATGTTCAATGAATGAGACCATCGCCTGCAAATGTGTTAAAGATGATGCAAAGCGGGATGGTCATATGGAAAATGGTACGAGCAGAGGTGAGAGGCCTGTATCTCTGTAAGAACGGAAGCCAAATCAAATACGTGAAATGAATAATTTAGTCATTCTGATCTTTTATATCGACACAAAGCTTTTTTTTTGTGTGTAGTCAGTGCACTTACCTCTTTGACGAGAACTTTGTCCATGTTTGATTGTGAGATGGAAAAGGCAATTAAGTAATTTTTTTATTAATTTCAGACTTTTTCATTTACTTTTCTTCTTTTTTTCCGTAATTATTTGCGTGGTTAATTCTCAGTGAAGGCATCAAAACTAAGAATGGACACATATGGAAGGTAGCAGACAAAAAATAAACTCAAAATTACTCAAAACTTAAACATAGCCTTGCTTCGATTCCTGGTTTGCACATTTGGCATTTCTTGACCCTGACAAAACATGTGTGAAGTGAAAACTATTTCAGGAGACTTCATCAAGAAGCTCACTGAGAGAAGGCGAAGTGTTTATAGTGCTTCAACAAAGCAAAGGGTGGCTATTTTGAGGATTTTAATGTAAAATATGAAAAATATTTAGCAGGTCAAATGCAGCATGAATTGAAGGTCCAAGAACATCGTCTACTGATTTGTTTTTAAAGATGCACTGTGTAACTTTTCAGGTGGAGGGTCCACTACCAAACATGACAAGTTATTTAAATTTTAACTACATAATTCCATACATCTTGCATTATATATTTGATGTTTTCTATATGTATATAAAATGTAGAAAATAGTCAGCATAAAGGGAAAAAACACAGAATTTTGACTGGTGCTTTAATATGGGCAAAACTAGTATTTAAAAAGGGTTCAAAATCTGATTACAGCAGTGATTCCAAATTCCTCTACCTGTGCACAATCTGCAGGCTTACAAATTGATATGTTGCTGCCAGGTGGCCCCTCATCCCTTTGCTCATTAGGACCTGTAAATATTATCCCACAAATCATCAGCCAAAATCATTTCATTTTCACTGTAAACCCTGATTTGCGAGTTGTTTTGTTTCGCATATATTAGCCTCCCCTTGTATTTACTCACATGGCAGTGCCCCTCGGTGGCCTGGCTGGTGGTTACACAATATACAGATGGTTTTGTTTGCCTCCATTGGTGTGTGTGAGTGAATGCAAGTGTGTGGTCTGGTTGGGGGGAGGGGTGCTGAGTAGTGTTTCAGCCTAATGTAGTGTCATTATGGAAATTCACACTTCATTAATTAACTCAAAAGCTATCACTTAAATTTGGCAGGGCAGATGTGTGAAGCAATAAGCAGAGGACACGCACTAGCTCTATGTGGGCTCTATATGGCTTTGTCTCCCCTATGTCCCCCTAAGGCGTCTTCCACCTGATTTTAATCTAATTCCCATCAACACTACCCATGCGGATCTGTACGGCGCGCACTCATATGTATGTATTTGTGTATTTGTGTTTTGGCGTGAGGTTCTGTGTGGCGCTGCCGCTAGTGGTGGTGCTGATGCGTGCGTGGAGCGGAGGATGAGATTGCCTCAAATTGATTCCCTTCGCCACACGTCCCCCGCTTTTGCGCTCGCCGCTAGCCCCGCAGCGCTTCCAGACAGGTAGTCGTGTCTATCTCCCCCCAACACAAATCGAGTGTGACAGGTGCGCTATCTGCCTGTCTTTTCTGCCATTTACAGCCCACATAAATGAAAGAGGGAGAGCTGGGAGCAGGAACCGGGATGATTGGTAACAGGGAAATGAGGTACTTTGTCATCATCGGGCCTACTGATTAGGCTTAGGGGCTTGTTTCTGGTTTCCATTTGTGGGTGGCGGTCAAATCTGCAGATAAACTGTCCACTGAAATATTATCACAAGCAGAAATGCAGCCACTTCTATGTCAGATCTTTGATCTTCTGTGTATTTTGTCTCATGCTACATAACTGCCATGCTACACAGAGCATGCACTGTTCACCAGTCGCCTCAGCTGAAACAACAGGAACAACGCTAGTGCACATGCTAGCTAACCAGCAGCACAGTACATACTGTCATGACGACTCACACACTTGGATTAGCCAGGAAAAGTACCGCAGAGCGCCCATCACTAAGGATCAAGCACTGGCTTAAGCAAATGGATGACAAGGGATAGAGCGAGTGTGGAGCTACTACAAGCTCACTGTAGCACATTGATTTCCACAGGCGTGAAGATGGCCGCTCTTAAAAGTGCATGAATGACAACACTTGGCCAACCCTGCCTTAGAGATTACATGTAGTGTTTAAGGAGGTCCCCATCCTTTACAGAAGCACAAAGTGCAGCTCAAGATGTGACTACACTGAACTACACAAGAGTGGAACTGGCTTTATTGAAGAGACATTTCACCATGTGCACTTATCTATAGAGATTATAGCTCCACTGTGGGCCCTTTTAAATAACTAATGAACAGCAGGAACTAGTATTTGCTGACTTGTCTTAAGTACAGTTAAAGCTGTCTTAATGTAAAGAAGATAGCAGCATTGATCTGAGAGAGCCGCTAATCGCATCTCATTCTGGATGCTTTTAATTGGTGACAGAAGCTGTGAAGACAAAATCGTATTAGTTCACCCTTTCATGTGGGTTTTCATGTGGGTTCCTGTGCGTGATCTGCACACTCTTCATGTCATTTAGAGCAGTGTCAGAACATCCCTATGAGCACATCAGCTCCTCTGTCAGCTGTGTGGGGGTATGTCACCAATGTGCAGGCATAGATAAATCCTCTGGACTCAAACAGCTTTGTTTCATTCACCTCTCTCTCTCTCTCTCTCTCTTCCTACCCTCTTCCCCTTCTTCTTCCATCCCTTCTTGTCTCTCCTAGGTTGTGAATACCCTGCATCTGAGAAATCAGACCAGACTGACTCACAGGGCTCTGTGAGCCAGTGCCACAGAGGCTGCCAAAGCATGCTGGTGCCAAGCTGTCCCACCATGCACACAGCCACTCTGCTGCTGCCACTGCTCCTGGGCCTGCTCCTGCACCTCGCCGACGCTCAAAGTAAGTGTCCTCAGTAGACGTGTGTGTTCTGTGTGTGTAAAGACCATGTACATACTGTATACAAAGACACCGCACAGTCCATAGCACCACTGCTAATGCAACACAATCTAGTCCATGTACCCGTCTCAATGACATGTCACATTAAAAGAGTATTTAACAGGTTCTATATTTGGAAAACGTGCAAAAACATCTGTATAGTGAAATAAGTCATATGACCCTGAAATGCAGCAGCCAGAGCAAAGAATCTTCTGATGAGAAGTCAGTGGAATTGAGTTACTTGACACCAACCACCTGCCTATTGATGTGTGACAACAGTTTTCAAAGCTCATTGAGTTCTGGTCCTGCATGGTGCCATGGCTCTTTCTCCCCCTCCTCACACCTCCTCTCCCCCTCCCTCCTCTCTCCCCTCCCCCTCCTCCCCCATGCTAAGATCCATGAATCATTAGCTCGTAGAGTCACAGAGGGAGGAATAAAAGTTTTACGGCTCCCTCAGCAGTGACTCAAATCCCCTCGCTGAATACCTCTCAATGAAGCCACCATTCAGCCAAGGTCATATACCGCCCAGCCACGCAAAGTTAAATTGATGGCTAAGATTTTCAACTTTGTGCTTGAGAAATGTTCCCTGCAATATGTTAAGAATCCGATTTATTTTGCTTCCCAGCCTCCCTCCCACCACATGTGTCGCACAGCGGGGGTGAGGCAAATGACGGAAATCCATTCGCCGTTTATTCCTCATTTTATGTGAAACTTCAGGATTTATTGACACGATTTAATTACGGGAACTTCCCAAAACGCTATTAACGGTCGATAAACGTTAACATTTAGGAGCCTCTTTAGTAGCAATCATTTAGACTACCATCCTCTAGAACAAATTTACATAACAGCATCAGAAGGGGATAAAAATGTAAAGACATTACACCAAAATTGAGCTGGGTGGTTTGTATGGTGTTCTTTCAGGACACCTAAAAACACAGGGAAAATAATCTATGTATTTGTTTCATTTAAATGTCTGTCAGTCTGCAGCTGCTGCCATGTCTAACTTGAGGGGGACAGCTGCTCTTAGACATCATATCAAAGCCAAAACAAACTTGTCGTTGGGTAACCACTAGGGGGTCTAATGACACTGGGTGTGTGGGAGAGGTCAGCGACATGTCCTGTCTCCAGCCAACTCATCATGGAATACTTCTGAATGTTACAAGAACACATTTTTTCACTGATTAAACTATATAACTAAATACTAAAAAGACTTGGACACTGCATAAAAAGATCACTATTCAATACACTGGCACGAATACCTTGAAATAAAAATGTTTCTTTTCTTCTCTTGTACAGGACTAAATATAAAAAACACATATTCAAAGGTCTATTTTATGCAGTATGGCTCTGGTGAGCTTTAAAACATTATATAGTTGTAGTGTAGTTATAATATTGTTACCTTGTCAAAAACATACACTGTCTGCATCCCCAAAGCTCCCAATGCTCTCTGGTAGTTTTCAAGTTTACAGCTCCTTTTATCTTTTGTTCAGTAGAGATTGGCAATGCCAGAATCATCCAAATGATTCTAGTGAATTTATAAAGAGTGTAAAAACACAGTGGAGCTTTTCCTGTATTATCATCACAAGGTGGAAACAGTGTTTTTAGAATAAATATAAAGAATGAGAGTATTTAAAATGTGTGAATGAAACAAATCACAACTCAAAAGATGGTGTAATATGGCTCTTTACAAAAATGATTTTTATTTTTTTTTTTTCAGATTTTGTTGGAATATCACACATTGCCTTGCTAAAAATAGTTTAATGACCAAATCCAAGAGTGTTACTTAAGTCTTATTGAAACATTGCTCTAAATAGTATATATGGCTTTGAAATATTCATGGTCTTCTCTACAAAAGATTGCGAGATATAACAATTCAAATTTAAAAATGACATTAAAATAGCAAATCAAATTGCAATTGGATTACCTGTCAGAAGTCGTACAGCCTTATATTCATGTGTTTCAGCTTCCTGTTATATGGGGTCATTTTGAGGACAGTTCTCCATTCATAAGATTTTTTTTTTATTGTTAATTGCAATGGCCATAGCCCTAACTTTTAATCATTCTGAAAACCATGGCTAGTTCATTGTAAATCATATATATTTTACCTAGTGCCCCATCTTTTTTTTGTGAGATCTTTCAGCTCCCTAGTCCCCCCTCCCCATGCAACCACTTGTTATTCATCAGTGTCTGTATTGGTCCATCTAAACAACCCCCCTCCCCTCTCCCTCTCCTTCTCCCCCTCTGCCCCTTCAGAGCCTCAGCAAAGGGAACACTGCCCCCATCTAGTGCCCCTAGTGTTTGTTGTGCGCGATGGCCTCCGGGCGTTGGACACGTTGGACGCCACCAGACTTGCAAAACCAAAATGGCTGAGTCGGCCAAGTCAACAGATGGCACTGCGCTCTGAGCCAGTGCACACACAACATAGGCAATTTTCATGTCAAATTCACCCCAGCTTTGAAACTGCATTATTTTTTTTATCTGGTTGTTTTGCTTCCATTGTGTGGTTGTTGTTGTTTTTTTTGTTTTTTTTTCTTCTTCTCCACTCCGTCCTCCTTGCTCTTCAGATGTGGCCCCACTTAATTTGTGTGGCAAATTGGGCTTGGCAATTGCTTGAAACAGGGGCATAATTGTCCCCGGTGAGCCACAGTGATGGAGGGAGAGAGAAAGACACAACAAACAATCGTTCTCTGTATGCTGCCCAACAGTAACGCAGAAGACGCTTTGAAAAGGCATTGAGCAATTATAGCATGTCCACCTGGCTAGGCTAACAGGCACGGTGAAAAAGACAGTATTAAGCCGTTTATTGTGTACATTCGCCGTAAGCAGTATTGACAAAAATACTATCAATTATTTTTTATTATACCTGTGAGAATATTCCAGCAATATTATCACAATTAATTTGAAATAAGGTTTTTGCAGCCTTTTTCCATTAGTTTTATTACAAACAATATACTCATTATTCAGACTTTGGGATAAAACAGGAACATTGCTAAAACATTGCAATACAATGTCGCCCACACTTAGGGATGCACCAATCCAGATATTTCTGTTCCAGTACTAACTCCGATACTACAGCTTTAAGTATCTGCCAATGCAGAGACTGAAAACAGCATTTATTTCCTAAAAACGAAAATAAGATAGAACTATTCCAACTGTGATTTGTAGCTGTTAAGTAAGAACAAAACAACTTTGTGTAAATTAAAGTTTCTGGCCCGACTACGATCAGTAAATAGTCTTCCATCCATCGTTCCAATTTCTTCTGCTTATCCGGGGCCGAGTCGCAGGGGCAGCAGCAGTCTAAGCAGGGACCCCCGATACTTCCTTCACTCTGGACACTTCCTCCAGCTCCTCCAAGGGGGCCCCCAAGGCGTTCCCAGGCCAGGCAAGAGACATAGTCCTTCCAGCGTGTCCTGGGTCTTCCCCGGGGCTTCCTCCGAGCTCCTCCCGTGTGACTGAGCTCCTCACCCTATCTCTAAGGGAGCGTCCAGTCACCCTGCGGAGGAAACTCATTTCGACCTCTTGTATCCGTGATCTCGTCCTTTCGGTCATTACCCAAAGCTCATGACCATAGGAGTAAATAGTCTTATTACATGAATGTATATGTCTAACCAGGATATTGGATAGCCTGATTCATCAGCCGGTTTCACTTTGTTTCACTAGAAATCGGATTAAAATTAGAATTAGAATTCGTTCACTCGACGGTAGGCGGGTACTTTTTATCATTTAACCAATCGCTGCTATTCACGTCCATTCACTATGTCACGTATGCAATGAGGTGATATATTAGGCTTTTCCCAAATCCTGTAGGAAGAAGGGCAATGACGTCTTTCCCCTTGATAAAATTCACCAAACATTCTCTTTGTTTTGGCTTTAAATCCTCTGGATCTCTGGAATCGTTGCCAACACAGAACGTGTAGCTCTTCGCTGATTAGCTGGTGCCCGAACTTGCACTTCCGGGGTTTTTGCGAACCGTCTTTTGCATTTTGATTCCTGACCTAGTCACTGGAGAGAAATGAAATTGAGCGGAGGCACTAGGTGGCGCCAGCCTGGCTAGATATTGGATGGAACAATATTTGAAAGCAGATACCCAGCCAGTTTTTCAGTTTCAGTGCCGATATTCAATACCAGTACTGGATCGGTGCGTCCCTGCTCACACCTTCTGCAGTTTAAATGTTTGCCTTATGCTTGACGTCAAAATGAGAAATCCTGATATTGAATACTGATAGCTGTACCTCAGCTTGTACTGGACCATGTCAAAGCAGTGGGCTAAGTGTTAACATTGATCTCTGTGCTGTAAGTTGCCAGTGAAATGGCCACTTTGACAGCACGCTCCTGTTTGAACACATCCAGCAAGTATCGACCTTCATCCTCTTGAGACAGACAGGACTTGAACAGCCCATTCTCATCCTCCTCTGCATGGTTACAAAGTTCTGCAATAAACAATATGAGACCCATTTTAAAACGCATTAGACTCTCCAGACACACAGCAATGCAAGGAATGTCATTTAGAATAGCTCCCTAGCTTTGAGAATGTGACATGTTAAAAAAATATTATACGTACATGTGCAACGCTGTGTTTTGATTTAATCTGATGGAAGCCGCGTGTGAAATGTTATGAAATGTATAACAGTTATTTGGAGTTTAGAAAGGAGATTTGTGCAGAAGCAAACACTGCTCATGTCAAAAAAGAAAAAAAAAGAAAAATGCTACCAGTTTTTAGCAGCTTTCTATATGCTAATATGAATGCATGATTTAAAAATGGCTGGTACTCTATGACTTCACATTTGGATAGCAATAGGGCATTAATAATCCAACAGTGTTTGAATGAATTAGTGCTGGACGTTGAGTTGGTTGGCTGGGAGACTATAGTCATTTCGCATAGTGAGATTATATATTGGCATACGTACACAGTATAGACTCTGCTTCTATTGGACATAATGGTAGCTCTATGAGAAATGGAGACG